CTCGATACCATAGCGATGTCTTTTGGAACGGGATGTATTGCCTGAAGGAAATCCTCCCTCTGAATGGGACTAGGGATTCGTCTATGCAGACATCACTGTCGATAAAAAAAGCGCCCATAGCTGTCGCGTTGAAGAGGCTCAAGAATTTCTTAATTTTGGTACAACTTGTCTCCATCAAACTCGTCATTGTTGGCAACGTGTAGAGAACGCAGAAGCTCTTCAAACCGTCTCCTAACCATAACGTGGCCAACATGCGAATGTCCACCCAAAGCTGGTCTCTGGCTCCAGTAATCATGCAAGCGTGGTAACTTGACAATTCCCATTTGAAGGCAAATTCCAAGGAATTTCCTCATTTCGTCTTCCGTCGTATCTTGAAAGTCTGATCCCATCTTTTCCGCTCTTCTTTGTCCATATCGATTCGTTTCACTAACAATAAGCTCCATCATATCCGCATTAAGAAACAGGTTGTAGAAGTCGACAGGATGGCTGCAGCTGAAAACATGGGCGGCTGGTCCATGTTCCCCTGTGAAAGTCCATCGGTCATGGATTGATGCCGTCGTTGTCCAGGATATTTCAGGTTCATCACCAGATTCCGATTCAGTTTCGAAGTCAGGATCATCGTCGTGTAGTTGCGATTCGTCTGCGGTTTCATCCTGACGTCCCTCGCTTTCTTCATCAGATTCGATCAGCAGCTGACAGAATTCCTCTTCAAACCGATCCTCAGACGTATTCGTAGTCGTTAGGAACTGGAGGTAGACTGACTGATCGATTTCTTACGCGCTGACTATGACAGAAGGAGTCTCTTCAAAAAACCCGCCAAAAAGGCCCGCTTTTCAAAAAGCATGCCACGAGAGCCCGTGCAGCCCACATGTGGGCTGCAGCCGCGACGTTTGAGCGAGCGCCGCGGTCCCTCGCGGCCTCAACTCGCAAAACCTGCGCGGGCTCCAACGTGTTAAGCCTTGCAGAATCTTCTTCTTTCAAGGCCTCTCTACACCAGCCCTCACAGAGATGCCTTGGCACAGCCTCCAGAACCTCCATAGCCCTTACCCTGACCTGAACGGCACAGTTCCAGTTAAACGCTACATCCTCAATGTTCAGAAAACTTTACTGTTTCCAGTCTATTCGTCGGTCTTCCAATTTTATTGAGACGCTGCTTGAGATAGCTCCAGCACAACTCCACTGGATTAAAAAAGCAGTGGAATGGAGGGAGCCTGAGTAAGCTCACCCCCATTTCCTCACAAATCCTCTCAGCTGCGTAACAGCGCAAAGCTGCAAGTCCTCCTCGACTGGCGACGAAGTGGTTAAGCTAGACATTGCATAAACAATGAAGCTAAATTAGTTTTAACACACACACGAACCTCCTCCAGGAGAGCAGCTTTCGTGCTGTTTATAGCCACTTCGACGCCATACGAGGCAAGATATTCCACAATCTCCCGCTTCGTGGAGTGCGTCGTCTCGTCCATGAAGACTAGGCAGTCTCCTCTAGTTCGGGCTTCTTCGATCCTTCTCAGGTATAAAGGTCTTTTGCGGGCAATGTCTGACCGTTCAAAAATATACCGTTGCCCCTTCAGGATCTTATATGAGAAGCCGAGCCCCTTCAGCAGCCTCCAAAGCGTCATGGGCGAGAACGTGAAGTCCGGATAGGCTGAAACCATTTCCTGTCGCAGCTCCAGAACCGTGACGTCTCTTTCGTCTCTGAGCATTTCGTGAACAAGCCGCCGTATGCGCTCACCCCATACTGCACTAAGGTTGTTCATAGCGGTCGAGAACGACTCCTAGGAGTCGCCCGCGGAGGAGCAGGGCGGACCGGTGAGTCACCAACCCTCTCGACAGTAGCACGACTAACACCGCATGCCTTTGAAGTCAACGCAGTAACTGAATCGAAAACGGTACCACGTGACGCGGTACCGAGGTGTTCTTTCAGTTTTGCGAAAGAACTGCTTCACTCTGGCGATGACGGCTTTCGTCTGTGGGGTGTAAATGCAGCGCCCTTCAAACTCCTCTTCAGTCACCAGCATGTCGAGCGAGAGTGCCCGTAATGCCGTACAGAGGCAGTTATTTCTTTGAGCAGCTTGCTCAGCGATTGATCCTCTCATGCCATGGTCCTGAAAACATGCGCTGCCTTCGAATACAGCTGAACGGCATGACCATAACACTTGAAACCCACTAACCACTAAATCCGCACGATGCACCCCATCCCTCGGTTGCGTCAGCAGAACCGATCTGGCAATAGTGAGTATAACTTCGTATTATCGTAAAGTGCTGCGCTTTTTAGTAATACAGCCTTCTTAAGCTTACAAAAATGTGTGCTGTATTCATTTTGATGTTCACAGAGAACGGGCTCGGAGGCTGAAGCAAAAGCTCATAAAATGTCAAGAAACAAAGAAACAAGGACTTTGCATGAAACAATAAAAGATTGAGAGAGCAACTCACACTCTAAAAGACACTCTTCAATCCATGGCTAATTTTTATTCATAATTAATCCTAGCGAACGAAAATAAAGCAGAATGAAGTTTTTTTAAAGAAAGAAAGTTAGCAAGGAAATCAGGGAGCTTGCAGGAGAAGTGTTAGTAACAACAGTATGATTGAGCAGTGAAATCTGAGCAAGCGAAGAAGCAAAAGGAAGACATTGCTATAATATCATCATTCTGGATGGAAACGTGTGTATTAGTAAAAAGAAATATGGAGAAGCCGATGACGAAATGATGGCAGCACAGTAACCTATAGCAGCAAGCAATAAGAAGAT